AGACCCAGCAACGCCAGCGTCTATGCCTTCTACTTTGGAGCTAAGCTTCCTTGAGCACCAAGGCTAGGCAGCTGCCGAGTTCAAGCCTACAAATGTGAGGCTTTTCAACCTGCCCGCGTCCTTCCCCTATTCAAACATAGGCCATGGCTCCCTCAGCACTGGTGATCCAGTCCTGACTCCAAGCCCTCCGCTGTCAGGACCAACTTCCTCTCCCATCCAGGCTCACTCCCGCCCAAGCCACACCCCATCCAGGCTCACTCCCGCCCAAGCCACACCCCCATCCAGGCTCACTCCCGCCCAAGCCACACCCCCATCCAGGCTCACTCCCGCCCAAGACACACCCCCAGAACATGCCCTGGTCTCTCCTGCCTTACCATGCTCCCACCTACCATCTATTATTCATGTTACATTCTGGACCCTTGAGGTAAAGGAACTGAAATTGTAAGTCATAACCACAGAAGGAAGTTGAGGAGGGTAAATACTTTTTGTCTCAGTTTACTTTGGCTTCTCATCTTTCTCCTAGCCAGGGAGCCTTCTGTAGCTGACTTCTGGGAAGAGAAATCTCAGGAGGACCCATGAGGCAATGAAGAAACCACAGAAGGCTTGAGAGGCACACAGGAGCCAGGCCTGATCTCAGAGCTTCAGAGGACAGAGGGCAACACAGACTAGTCACACCCCTTATGAGGAGTCACCTCAAGATCTCTGATCAAGCCAGGCATTGGTGGCACATGCCTTTAATCCCAGCACTCAGGAGGCAGAGGCAGGTGGATCTCTGAGTTCGAGACCAGTCTGGTCTACAGAGTGAGTTCCAGGACAGCCTCTCCAAAGCCACAGAGAAACCCTGTCTCAAAAGAAAAAAAAAAACCTGATTAAAGCTGCATACTTAAATCTAAAAGGCCACTCTCCAGGACAGTGATTCTCAACCTGTGGGTCACTACTCCTTTGGGAAGGAAATACCATCAGAAAACAGATATATATGATTCATAACAGTGGCGAAGTTATAGTTACGAAGTAGCAACAGAAATAATTTTATGGTTGGGGTCACCACAACATGAAGAACTATATTAATAGGCAGAAGCATTAGGAAGGTTGAGAACCTTCCAGAATGATTCAGACATGGTACAGTTGTGTGCTATTAACAGCCATCATAGCTATCACTCAGAGCACCTGAGGCTATCGGCATTTCACAATAAGACATCAGATAGGCAGGGGCAGCTGTTAGCAACTACGGTGAACTCCAGCATGAGAGAAGCTTCTCCACAGCAATGAAAGTGAATGCCAGGAAGACTCTTGGTTCTGGCTACCTCCAGAGGACGACTGAGTAAGGATTGGTGCCCATATGAGTTTCTAACCAGCTCACAAATAAAGGGAGCAGATCACACTGTGGCCACCACCTACCCTAAGCCAAGGTTACCTCTATTCCCCTGTTCAGCCCATGATACCTCCAATATCTGAAGCCATGTTCATTGCTACCAGCTTCAGCCCAATGTGACTGTGCTTCTCATTGTCCAAGATTCCTAGACAGGGAGGCCCTGAGCCACTGGCCTCTTTAATATCTCTTCCCCTACCACCAGCTAGGTCACACCTGTACACTGTCCCTCAAAGTGACTGACATGTTGTGTTCTCAAGTGTCTACCAATGATTCTCTCTCTCTCTCTGTTTTTAGAGACAGGATTGCATTGTATAGCCCTGGCTGTCCTAGAACTCAATCTTACACCAGGTAGTGATAAGGGACCACACCAGCTACCACCCAGGCCCAGAACCAGGGCTATGAGTTGACCTACCTCAGCACCCACATCATCAAGGAACTATTGGGAGCAGGTGAAGGGGATGAACCCACAGATCCAAAACAGCAGGATCTTCATGTCACAGGACAACAGTAGGATGCTCAAGAGGAGCCCCAGAGAGAGCCCATTAACCAGAGGCCTCGAACCAGACCAGTGAATGACTCATAGCAATGAACACTCACAGGTAAAGATGAATGGACTAAGGTGTAGACTGTGTGACTCAACTGGCCACACTACAGCTTCCGTTGTTGTTTGGTTGGTTTTGCTTTGGTTTTTCTTTTAAGTTTGGTTTTGTTTTGGCAGTGAAGTTGCAGGGGCAGAGGGTAGATGAGAGGACAGGAAGATACGTGGGATCAGGATGCATGATGTGAAGTCCACGGAAAATCAATAAAAGTTAAATAAAATAGTTAACCAGCAACAAAGATACAGAAAAAGACTTAGGCATTTCCTCATGAGACTTGCACTTACTTAGAAGTCCCCGGTAAGTATGGCCATCTCAACCTTTTCTGCACGCCCACACCCAGCGTGGCTTTTTGTCAGTATGACCCAGTGGTCTCACCTTGGTTAATTGCGGGGATGTCCTTGTCCTGAGATACCTGGCTCCCTTCAGGAGTGAAACCTTCTGGGACACTGGTACTGCAGACTCCTCCTGAACATCTGGGTGCTGCGGGTGCTCCCAGGATCAAGCCTGGCCGGGCAGACAAGTGCAGACACATAGATGCTCCCAGAGCTCCATTGGTGAGCTAGGACAGCAGGACAGTGGGGAGCAAAACCCAGCCCCTTCCCAGGATCAAGCCTGGCCAGGCAGACTAGTGCAGACACATAGATGCTCCCAGAGCTCCATTGGTGAGCTAGGACAGCAGGACAGGGGGAAGCGAAACCCAGCCCCTCCCAGGAGAGGCCTGGTGTCATGCATCCCCGAAGCCTGCCTGGGTTTCCCACTCAGCCCCACCCGGCAGCAAGGTCTTGATGTCTTTATTGAAGGAGAGCCCTTTAAGGGACTAGCACTTGTCTAGGGCAGCACAGGAGGCAGAATGGACTTTAACTCTTGAGGTGGCACCAGATTCAGGGCTAGCCTCAGACCCTTGTCTTCAGCTTTTTCTTCAACCCAGGCTCAGCTTGAGTGACTGCTGCCCCAGCAGTAGGTATGTGGTATGACACCTGGCAATCTACAGTTAGGTGGCACCTCCGCTCCTACAGGTGTTGGAAGACCTCCTCCTCTGTCCCCAGGAGCTCGATTTTAGGCAAACCCCTGGAGACCTCCATGTGGAACCATGAAGTTCATGTAAGACTATTTTAACCCACAGCCTCCGCCCCTGACCGCTTCCCAGTGCCGAGCCAGCTTACCCGACAAGGAGAGCAAAGCTAGCATCCAAGGCCGCAGGCCTCCCACGCTCCCCATGGCGGGTCCTCACTGTGCTCTCAGCAAGCAATGTACACAACCGTAACAGGAAAGAGCATCCTAAGCGCAGGCGCTGGACCACCCGTTCCTTAAATAGCAGCTTCTCTAGCCAACACCTGCAGCCTCCCGACCACCTCCAGGAACAACCTCCCAACAGCCGCCACCTGAAGACGGACTTACTCCTTCCTACCCGAGGACCCTCCCCCAGGCCTGAACCTTCTGGACCACAGTCCCACCCACCTTGGCTGAAGTGGGTTAAAAAGTGGGCGGGGGACACAAAACAAACCTCTTGGCAGCGTTGCCGAGATACCCTCCTGCCACCAGAGGGCGGAGAAGCATTGTAGCGAGGTTCATGGGCGGGACTGAGACCCCAGCACTAGAAGTGACCGCTTTTCCTGCCCCACCCGCTACCAGGGGACTCAGACACAGAAAATCAGCCTGAAAACTCCACACACCCTCCCCTGAAGTATTTGGTGATGAAAGGTGTGGTCACTACACCTGTGTAAAGTTTTCTTTCTTTCTCTTTCTTTTTGGGAGGCGGGGAAAGGGGAGTAAGACAGGTTTCATTATATAACTTTGGCTGTCCTGGAGCTCACTATGTAGACCACCAGACTGGGCTAAAACTCAGAGATCTACCTGTCTCTGCCTATTAAGTGCTAGGATTAAAGCCATGTGCCACTATGCCTGGCTATCAGCTTTTATTTCAGAAGCCATATAGGAGAGTACAGTCATGGATCACAGGACTCTGAAACTTCACAATGTACAAACACCCAGCATCATTAGCACCCAGGGGCACCTGCCATGGACTCTCGGGGTGGGAGTGGGGTTGTTCATGACACACAGACAGACAGACAGACAGACAGACACTTTTGAACACTCAGACCCTCACATAGATGTGATCCTTACAAAGCCACCACCCCAGTCAGGTGGTGGTGGAGCACACTTTTAATCCCAGTACTCGGGAAGCAGAGGCAGGTGGATCTCTGTGAGATGGAGGCCAGCCTGGTGTACAGAGTGAGTTCCAGGACAGCCAACGATACACAAAGAAACCCTTTTTAAAAAAAAAAAGCCACAGGCCAGGCCCCTGACCTGATCAGCTGGGGCCCCTTCCCACCTCACTAATTCGAAATGCAAAGCTCCTCAACTCTCTTCTTATTGGTTACCCCTCACACAGAGATCCTACCTGCATTGGCAGCCTGGAACACACCAACCAATCACCCCAGTGAAGGGAAGCCAGAGCCAAGGGCGCCTGTGTTGACTGCACAGGCCTGCCAGCATTCCTGCTGAACCTGGGGCCAGCATCTCTCGAGAAATTGAAGTCAAGGCCACAAGGAAGGCATGTTAATGACTCTGTGGCCCTGGTGTCCCTTACCCACCCTGAGCAGGGCATCAAGAGCACAGACAGGTCCCAGTAGAAACTGGCATAGGCCTGGAGGAAGGTTGAGAACAACCCTAGCCCCTGAGTGCATTGCCCCAGGGCAGAGAGAAGGGGCCCTAGGGACAGGTTGTATATCCTTTATTCAGCCCCAGGAAACCAGTGCCTTCTGTTCTGGGTTCCAGACAATGACCTGAGTGCCCTCAGTCAACACACACCTGCACATCACACACTGGGAAAGTGTAGTTCTCAGGGAAGTGGGGGTCTGATCAGCCCTGAGCTGCTGGAAACCTAGACTGGAGTCTGCGTCCCTGAACCCTCCCAGTTCAGCCTCAAGCTAGACCCTGTGTGGAAAAGACCCCAGGCCAGGGCAGTGAAGACACAGTTGCTCAGGCACCCCAGGCATGAACTCGAGACAAGACACTTGTGCTATTGCTCTTTTTTAAACAAAACACTGTTTTTATTGGCACATCCTCAATGTTCTATATAAATATAAAGTGCTATTTCCAATGTCCCCTCCCTGGCCCACAGGGCTGGGAGGAAGTCAGGGAGGGAGCGTTAAATATCAGTTGAACACAAATAACTTTTCAGCACCAACTGTGGTGAGACACACGCACACTTACACACAAAAGCAAGAAGTCAGTAACATGACACACTCATCACTTCCTGGCTCCCCCGAGAGCACAAGGCTTGAGCTTTGGGTCGTGGGGTGTACACCCCGAGACGTGGTTCTTGCTTGTCACAGCTTGTTCCTTGAGTCCTTGGGCTACCAAGGGCTTTAGCATAGTGGGACTGCAATACATGGGTTTAGGGTCCAATTAATTTCTGCCAGAGTTGGGGGAGAGAGAGCAAATATACTATCTGCTCTGGTCCCCTGAATAAGGGTCAGCCCTTAAACCCCCAGCAGTGAGCACCGTATCAGAAAAGCCATCATCCTGGCTTTCCTAGCACCCCAACTTGAGGACAAGGTGAGGAGGGGGGAGCTAGGCTGGAGAGAGCCCAGCAGTCCACAGTAGCTCCCCCCAGGAGTCAGTGAGAGGCAGCACTGTGGGACCAGGCCAGGCTTTGACTCAGTGACATAGCACCTGGGTCTCAAACTGTAGCAGCTGCCCCATGAAACTGAAGTTGGGGGAGATGACTCCCCGACGTTGCTTAACAAAGTCAAAGGCCTCATCCAGCCGCACCCGGTGGCTCTGAATCAGGTATGCCAGGCAGATAGTAGCTGAGCGAGAGATGCCGGCTTGGCAGTGCACCAACACCCGGCCCCCACTATTCTTCACTGAGTCTGCAAAGGAAATGGGGAGGAAGGAGTCAGATGGGGAGGTGGATGGAGGAAACAGGTCCCCCACCTGCTCCCCTACAGTTCCCAGACCCCTGGGGCTGAGGCACCCTTACCAATGAAGCCAATAGCCTCCTGGAACCAGGCACTAATCTCCACCATCTGGTTGTCTTCTACTGGAATGCTCTTGTAACGGAAAAGACCCTCAAAGTGGTTGGGGCAGCTGGCAGAGACATTGAGAACGGCTGTGATACCGCAGGCCTGCAGCCCCTGAAGGTCTGAGGAGTGACTGCAGCTGCCCAAGTACAGGTAGGGCAAGATTTCCACAGGACCACCCTAGAGGAGGAAGGGGACAGTGGTGAGACCTCAGCCTTGGCCTGGAGGGTTTCAGCCCTTAGTGAGGCAGAGACATCATGAGCTGGCTAGAAACAAGAACCCTAAGCCAGTTCTCTGACCTAGAGCAGAACTTAACGTTCAGACAGACACACATGCCACTCATGCCTTAAAGTCTGTATGAGAATATACACATTCACACCATTTGCAGGACACACACACACACACACACACACACACACACACACACACACGTATTTGAACACACCCCTAGCTTTCCCCAGAGGCATCCCTCAGGTATCCATAGAATTCTGATTGCAACTTACCTGGTCATAGATTGGACCCCTAGGGTCAGAGCTGTTCTTTTCTGCCCCGGCAGGAGATAACACCTGGGCAGGGCCTTCAAAGCACAGATCCGGACAGCATGCCTGGAAGCGTTCGAAGCCGCCTGCAGGGAGAGCAAGAAAGGAAAGGCAAGGTTAGCCAAGAAGCTGAGGGTGAGGGGTGCGGGGCGCAGGGTGCGGGGCGCGGACTCACCTCGCAGGAAGCACACAGTTGTGGATCCTGCGCGCATCTCGTGGAGCAATGCGGCTAGCAGCAGGTGAGCGGGGCCGTCCCGCGGGAGCTCCGCCACAGACGCGCTGCCTTCATCCAGCACCACTGCGCGGGCCAGCTCCCCACGACCCAGGCGTGCCCGGAGCGCACGGTCTGGCAGGAGGCAGGCTAGGGCGGCGGCTGGGGTACCGCGCGCACGGCGCCGCAGCAGCGCGTTCCAGGGCACGGGCCTCGCGGCGTGCACGTGGCTCCGGCAGAAGGCCAGGAACGGGCGACAGTCGAGCAGTAGCGTGCCCTCGGCCTCCCTCGGCTCCCGCAGCAGTGCACCCAGCGCTGCACACTCCAGCTCGTACGCTGCCTCCAGCCTCATGGCGATTGGCACTGCAAAGCCTCTAATCCCGGCGGCGATCCTCTCCCCCCGGCTCCCGCGGCTGCGACTGTGTGGCCCAAGCTGTTGGCTCTGGGCAGGCTTCGTTGCGCCCAGGCTTAAGTACTCGAGGGCCGGCCCCTCGGGTCACCATACAAGGGTAGAGCAGGAAGGCGCCAGCGCCCGCCCCCGCAGCTTCACGTAGGACTCGGGCTGGGCCGCCCCCGGGGCTCCCGGAGCGGACGGAGGGGTGGGGGGACATCTGGAGGAAGAACTTGAGGGGGAAGAAACTGGGTACCAGACCGTGACAAGCGTCAGCCCGGAGTCTAGAGGCCCCACCCACGTCTCCCCAGTGTATATGCCTGGGTGCTCCCCACTCTGCCCGGCCTCCGGCGGCTAAGTGCTTGAGAACTCAGCTTCTTGGCTGCACAAAGCCTGCGAGTTACTGGGGTCTCAGGCTTCCTCACTTTTCCCATTCTCTCCCAGGGGTTACATTCTACGAATTTCGTTAACAAAATTACCTGTTGCTACCGATGATGATACACTAGAAGCAAGCACACCATTTGTCTCATTTTAGAGACCTTAGGAAAATGTCTGTTCCCTTCTCCCCATGACTGGCTTTTACCAAAAGTTGGCCTGGCCAGAGTAGTCCCTTGCAGCCAAAGCCCTGGTCTGGGGGCTTTGTGGGGGGAGGGGAGCAGGGGTCTGTGACGAGTTTCCACTTATGACTGGGACAGCTTCTTTCCCCCAGAGGCCCAGGGAAACCCCCAAGGGCCCAAAAAGAAGTACTTCCCATGTCACCGGCCAGGGCTGAAGGGGAACTCTGCTGACGATGCTGGGCTCTCCCAGGGCCTAGCCAGGCCTGGCGGGAATTTCAGGGGAAGAAGGAGAGTCACTTGCAAAACCTACCCCCTTGCAAACCCTAGAGCTGACACCCTCCTGGGATAGGCCCTGGTGGCCCCACACCAAGCTGTAAAAATGAAGAGCTGGGTAACCCACAGCCATTCTGCCCTCCCCCGCCCAAGTGCCAGCCCCCTCCTCTGGGATATGGTGAGGCCTAGCTGTGCGTGGGCCCCGGGGGCTCTTGGGTTGGGGGTAAGGAATGTTAGTAGGTGGCTGAACCCCATCTGAAGCAGACATGGTCGGTGGGGACAGTGTTCAAATCCAACCTCCCATACCCTTATTCCCCTGGCCAATCCTCCATGCCTTTAGTAAGACCCCTCCAGCTTCCCTAAAGACCCAGTGTCCCCACTGTCTAGGAGGCCTACAGCTGTGACCCCAGCATGTGATACAGTGTATGGGTGCTGTGACCCCAGCATGTGATACAGTGTATGGGTGCTGGAGCAGAATTCTGTGCCTTTTCTCTCTGCCTGGAGGTGGATCTTGTGGGGGACACAGAATGCCAGGGACAAGCCTCAAGAACTCCTGGCCCAGATATGGACTGGTGTCTCAGTGGCACCATCATGTACACTGGTTCTAGGGCTCTGAGGCTGTGCCACAGCCTGGGCCCCTTCCCACCAGACCAGTCTGGAGGCCGATACAGCAGAACTGGTAGCCCAGTCAGGGAGTCTGGACCATAGATCCCTGAAGCTGATAGAGGCTCTTATCCTAGGCATCAGCCTCACAGATGACTTAATGCCTGATTCCTGCGACAAATTACAGAGCATGAAGGGGACCATCATGTCTAGTCTTGCTGACCAGAGTCACCTGGCTTGCCTGGAGCCACAGCCTTCCAGCTGTGGAGAAAAGGGAGGCCCTGCCAGTTGAAGTCCCTGCAGCAGGAATGAAATCAACTTAGCTTTGTGAGAAACTCCAGCTCCCTGACTCCAATACTGTACTCAACTGCTGGGCCTCCTTGCAGGGTGACAGTGTGTTGCTGAAAGTTTATTGGGTGCCTCAGTTCCTTTATCTGAGCCAGCGTGGACCTGTTACACATACACCGTTCTTCTTGGAGCTGTCCCCTTTTCAGCTCTGACATACACAAATGAACTCAAGAAGGCCAGATTAACCAGGAAAGAGGGGTTTGCTTTCACCTGCTGCTGGATTCACAAATCAGGGGAAATCCCCACCTTCAAAACCGGGGTGAAGTCCAAGGCTGGGGTAGAAGAGCCCACATCCCCCCCTTCCGCTGCTCTGACTAAAGGTCCCCCTACCAACTCTTGGATGCTGCCACAAATGAGTCATCTGCAGGATGTCTGCTACCCTTTGCCACCTTCTCAGGACCCTGTTCTCCAGAATCATTCCCTGGGAGTCTTCCAGGAGGAGGGACATACACTGGGATAGCATGAGGGATAGCCAGGCAGGTTGGCTGCTTCACAGGCTGCCCCAGTGCCTCATCACTGGACAGCAAGTAACCACACAGCTGTTGGTTTCTGTTTAAGGTTTTTCATGGCCTGGCTCTTACAGAACAGACCTAACAAGTGAGTTTGGGCTCGGGTTTTATTTATTTTTCTTTCTTCAATTAAGATGGTGTGGGACTCAACTGGAGCAAATGATGGCTCTCTGTATCATTTTCTGTAACCATTTATTTGGGTGGCTACTTAGACGTCACTGGCCTTCTGCCTTTGGGATTCCGGTTTGTCCACCCAGCCTGCTTGCAGGATGGGTTTCCCTTCCACAGTCAGATGCTCCAGGCTCTGCCCTGATGCCCTTTCTCTTCCTCCTCCTCCCAAGCCTAGCCTGGAGCAGATGTCCCAGGGAGGAGAGGAGAGGAGATGTGCGTGGCTGGGCTGAGAAACCTGAGCCAGGGCGGTTATGAAGGTGAGAGTGACTGTGGGGTGAGTGACGGGCCACCCCCAGCTTTGCCTGACTAGTGAGCCAGGGATGACGTCAGCTTTCCTGTGCCAGGCCGCCCACCCGGATGCTACGCCGCAGCCACCCCCACAGGCTCCTGCCAGGCGAAGACCTGAACTCCAGGCCCTGAGTTCAGCTACCACCACAGCCTGGCTGGCACTGTGGGGAGGAGGCAGAGAGGGCCACATGACCATTCCGTCTCCTGCTGAGAGAGGTGAAGCAGGAAGCCCCGGAGATCCTGCTGGCCACAAGTGGACTGCATGTAGTAGAAGGGGCTGGCGCGACCCACGAGTCTGTCAGATGAGTTTACGGGACAGAAGGGCATGGGCAGCTCTACCTGGATCCGATCTCCCCTGAATGAGGGTGAGAGGGACCTGCCACCTGAACTCTGGGTTCCTGTTGTGCCCAGGAGGTCCTTTGATGTGCAGAGGCAGCTTCTGAATATGTCACTGAAGAACTCCAAAGCACACATCGAGAAAGTTCAAATCCCTTTCAATGACCTGAATCTGCCCACTTGTGGCTGGCTGGCCTCAGGGCCCCTGTGACCTCTGCTCTTCTCCTTTCACTGAGGCTGGAGTCCCTCAGTCCCTTCTGCATTTACTCACTAACACCGTAGCACACTCCTGTCCTGAGAACTTGTGTGTCAGGTCCTGCTTTGGGGGCTGGGGATCCAACAGTAAACCCCTAGTGACGCCTTCAAGGAGCTGACTTCATCATCTCAGTAATACTTACCTTCATGATCATGTTGTATTCATGGCCAGTGACACTAGTTATCCACTAGAGTAATGATTATCTTTTCCTTTTAAAATAAATGTTAGGGTTGTAAAAAAAAAATCAAGTCAACTTAGGAAAGCTATTAAGTCAGGCACAGACAGTTCCCAAACACTGTAAGTCATGATGCAGATAGGAGGCGCCAGAGTGGGAACACCTTGCCCTAGAGGGTAGCACACAGCCCCTACCAGCTTTGAGCACTGTGTGGTTCAGGGGATCCGGCACTCCCCATGGCTATGGTCTCCCATAAAGACAAGAGCATGAGTCACAGGACAGGGAGGAGCCCCAGTGGACAATGGTGAGTATCCCCATGGGCCTGTGTGCCTGGATATGGCTAGAGGAGACTCTCCATGCCTAGGGCACCCACCCCCACATACATCGGGCTCCCAAGCCCCCAAACAGTGAAGCAACCCCACTCCATGCTGGCAGTCAGAGATGTCTGTGACTTAGGCACAGTGGGGAGGGAAGAGCAGGCTATAGAGGAAAAGCAGCCACCAATGGTATAGCTTCGCAAGCAGTTAATTCTCAGAAATAAGACCACACTGAGTTCCAGGGTAACAAGAAGATACCAGGATCTCTGCCATGACCAGAGCTAGGTGCACTGTGGCAGGAGACAAAAAGAACTTCTAGGCTGTGGTGAGTTAGAGACTGTCAGAGACCAAGGGGCAGGGGCAGTTCTCCCTCCCAGACCTATGCCAATGCCCTTACTTGTTGCAGCAAAAGGCGGAGCCAGGTCTCCTGAGCCCACCAACATTAACATGACTTTAGACCATAGGCATCCTCATGGGCTTCAGTGGTAACAGGAACCACAGATATCAACATGCCCTTGGCCATATGAGAACCATTGACCCACTCATGGACCTCAGCATCTGAAAGGATCACAAGCTTCAACATGGCCTCAGGTAGTTAAACATGCCACTCACATCAACATGGCTTCCCCGGGCAGCAAAGCCTGAAGACATCAGGCAGCATCACAGACTGCATATACTCCCATGGGTCTCAGGCTTCATGGCAGCCTGGGACAGCAGCAGGAACCACCAATACCAACGTGAACTCTGGTGGCACCACAGGGCCAGCAGTCATTTGAGAAGGTCCAATCCAGAAAGTGAACTTTTCCTCATCCTCCACCTCCATCGTTGCCCAAAGCCAGAGGATCCTGAAGCCGGGCAGCAGGTTTGGGTGCTGAGTCTGGGTCTGTGTAAGCTCCAGGTTGTTGTACACTATCCTGCTGACCCTATTACGTGACAGCAGCATGTAGACCTAGCCCTCTCTCACACCTGTCACTCCCCCACATCTCCAGTTCCAGCTTTCTCCATAGTGCAGACATCACTCAGTTTTTTCTATCTTTCTCATCTCTCCATCACATGTTTGTTCGTTAGAGCGGCAACCCACCCACCCTGAGACCACAAGGCCGGGGCAGCCTAGGCAAATACTTTATCCTTTCTGGGCCCTCGATAAAGAGAACAATGACTAACCATTATGTTAGGAGCCTTACAGGCATTGCTATGCACAAGCTTCATCTGTTCTCTTGGAGATAGAGAAACTGCAATGGCTTCAATGCATCTACACAAAAGTATGTATTGACTACTTTTAATGCTCCATGCAGCAACGTTTAGAATAATGGTTCTCAACCTGTAGGTTGCAACCCCTTTGGGGACTGAACAGCCTTTTCACAAGGTCACCTAAGACCATCAAAAAACATATTTTCATTACAATTCATAACAGTAGCAAACAAAATTACAGTTATAAATAGCAACAAAAATAATTTTATCGTTGGGATCACCACAAAATGAGGAACTGTATTACAGGGCTGAGAAGCACTGGTTTAGAAGAAGGCCCTAATGAGAGATGACTAGGCCAAGAGAACAGAATGGGTTGGTGCCTGTATTGTGGAAATGAGTCCAGCCACCGCCAAAGTAAGATGGCCCTCTACTGATGCCCACTCTTGGAGTTTTCAAACTGTCTTCTTATTCTGTCCCTATTGTTTATTAATTGTGCAGCCATAGGCATTTGGTTGCAGCAGCATAAATGAACCGAGACAGAAACCAAAATTCAAAGGCATTCCAATAGACGTACCAAGGCCACTGTGTTGACTAGTTTGATGTTAACTTGATATGAGCTAGTCTTTGGAGAGGAGGGAGCCTCGATTAAGAAAATACTTCCATAGCTAGAGGGTGGTGGCACATGCCTTTAACTCCAGCACCTGGGAGGCAGAGGCAGGCAGATCTCTATGAGTTTGAGGCCAGCCTGGTCTACAGAGCAAGTTCCAGGACAGGTTCCAAAGCTACAGATAAACCCTGTCTTGAAAAACAGGATAAAAAGAAAATACCTCTATAACATCAGGCTGTAGGCAAGCTTATAAGTCACTTTTTTTTTTTTTTTTGGTTTTTCGAGACAGGGTTTCTCTGTGGCTTTGGAG